TATTTTTAGTAGAGACGGGGTCTCGCTCTTGCTCAGGCTGGTCTCGAACTCCTGAGCTCAAACAATCTGCCCATCTCAGCCTCCCAGAGTGCTAGGATTACAGGCGTGAGCCACCGCGCCCGGCCTGCGAATAGTTTTAATCTCAGCATTTGTGTCAGTCCATGAGGATACGAGTGAAGCCACGTGGCTGCCGGTCTGCACCTCCTTCTTGAGACTTGTTCAAAACCCTCCATGGTCTCATCACCCCAGGATGAAGTCCCAAAGTCACAGCCTGGCGTCCGAGGGCCTGGCCCTGCTGCCCTGTGCACGCTGCCCCCCGCTCTCAGGGTGGCCTTGAGCGAGTCTATTCTCTTCCTGAGCCTCTTTCTCCTCCTCAGTTGTTTTCTGAGCCTCCTTTCCAGAACTCACCTGCAGACCATCAGGAAAACCCTTTGAGTAGCATTTTCTGGAAGTGGCCTAGGAAATGGAGCTGGGGGAGGCCCGGTGGGGCCTGGCCTGGGGAGACAGGGCGGAGACTAGAGGGTCATAAAAGGACGAGAGGGGCAGAGGGGATGCTTGGGAACTGCAGAGAGGAGGACAGAGTCGAGGGGAGCTGCTGGCACCCAGGCGTGTCCCAGTGGGCTGGGTGTGGGCGCCTCGGTCTCCCTGGGCCCTTGGCCCCTTGCTGTGCCCGTCAGTGTCCACCGCTCAGTCTCATCTTCCTGGCTCCGTATCTTTCTATTCTCGCTGTCACTTGTGCCTCTCACTCTGCCTATCTGTGGTTCCCTCTGACTTGGCCTCTTGTCCGCTCCTCCTTCCTGCCTGACTTTCCTGTTGTTTTTTTCCTTGGCGATTCTCTTCCCCGACTCAACTCCCTTTCCTCGAGGGTACTTTTGCTCTCCCTCTTTCCGCATTCTTGTCTCGCTGTACTCCACCTCCCTCGCTGTCACACTGATGCCATTTTAAACGGTCCCGAGGAAGCAGAGGAGGGAGAGAACAGGGTGGAGAAAGGTGTTATGGAGGAGTTGGTGCCCGAGCTGGGATTTGAAGGGTGGTCCGGGGGTTGGTGGAGAAGACATTAAGATTCCGGGGAAGGAGGAGGCTCAGGGAGTCTGGGTACCGGGCCCAGAGTCGGGCTGTGGGGGTGGCCCTGTTGCCACCATGGGCCCAGAGTCCTGGCTGGGGCCAGGCAGGTCCTGCTGGCAGGGACCACATTGGTGGTTTCGGAGTGAGTAGGTGAGTAGACAGTGCAGAGAAGGGCAAGTGAATGACCCGTGTCATAGGGAAAGAAAGTATGTAGAGACAAATTTTTAAATTTCATATTTTATTTGGGAAGAAAGAGTTGTTATTTGGGGCATACACACAGACCGGGTGGTCTTTGGAATGATCGAAGAGCAAAGAGGAGGTTGGAGTTTTCGTAAAAAGGAGAAATGTGGCCGGGCGCGGTGGCTCACGCCTGTAATCCTAGCACTCTGGGAGGCCGAGGCAGGAGGATCACTGGAGGTCAGGAGTTCGAGACCAGCCTGAGCGAGAGTGAGACCCCGTCTCTACTAAAAATAGAAAAATTAGCCAGGTGTGGTGGGGCGCACCTGCAGTCCCAGCTACTCAGGAGGCTGAGGCAGGAGGATCCCTTGAGCCCAGGAGTTTGAGGTTGCTGTGAGCGATGATAATGCCACGGCACTCTACGCAGGGTGACAGAATGGGATTCTGTCTTGGGGGAAAAAAAAAAGGAGAAATGTTATGTATTGCTGTTTTGTAACGTTCATTGGCACTAGTGAAGTTTCGGGGAGCCGGCAAGCTCTGATTGGTGAGTGACAGCAGTAGACAGAGCCAGTCTTAGAGTCGCAGCAGGCTGTTTCGGAAGCCGTGAGACGACACTGGCCTCAGGTTGCAGTGGCAGTTTCGGCAGCCAGGCTGGCAGAGAATGTGGGACTTTGTCCTGGGGTGATGAGACCGTGGAGGGCTTTGAACAAGTCTCAGTGTTAGAAAAACCCGCTCTGGGGCCCGCAAGGGGGACTGAGGACCCAGTGTGTCTGCGTGGTGGCCCCATGAGTGGCTGGGGGTTGGGGTCCCTGCCCCACCTTGGGGCCCCACCCTTGACATCACTGTCACATTATTGCACGCAGGCTGGCCGGCCAATAAGCTGCTGCTTGCCGTTACTATGTGTCCTAGCAACAGGGTCTGAGCTTCCACTCACAGGAGAGGAGACCCCACCAGTGGGGAGAGTGTGAGGGGAGAGGGACAGCCTGCAGGGCAGGTGAGTTCCCCAGGACGGGGTTCTTCCGCTGGGCCCCAGGTGGGTGGCAGCGGGGCCTTCCTGTGCCAGTCCCAACTCCCTCAGCCCACATTCTAGCCACTCGCTTGCCTGCCCCTCGGGACCTGTCCCAGCCTCCCCCTCGCCCATCCCCGGGCCATATCGGATGGGCTAAGGAGGGGGACGGGGACAGCATGAGGGAAATGCCCCAACCCAGGACAGGAGGAGCAGATCTGGTGGGAACAAGGTGATAAGGACACATTTCTGTGCGGGAGGGGAGCAGAGGATGGGGGAAGGGTGGGGCCGGGAGGGACAGGGGAGGCCAAGGGGACAGCAGGGGAGGCAGAGACACACGGCTGAAGGAAGAGCCAATGGGGACGGGGTTCGGGTCCTGGCTGTGCCTCTGGGTGGGAGACATCACTTGTCTTGTGTGAGCCTCAGTCTCTCTGTCCCTGTCAGACGGGAGCGTCTCTCCCAGGGCTCTCTGAGGAGTCTCAATAAGTCAACGTATTTGACAGGCAAGTGGCCAGCGGGGGGTGGGAGCGTGAATGGGAGACAGTGCCACGGGGGGCTCCCAGGCGCGGAGGGAGGGATCTGAGGAGAGACCATCTGGAAGACGGGAGGGGAAACTGAGGCCGGGAGGCAGAGCGTGGGGGACTTGTCCACATCGCTCAGCGGGCGTGGGGTAGAGCCAGGAGTCGATCCCGGGCGGTCTGGCTGCAGGTCCGGGTCCCCAACCATCGCTCTGCGCTGCCCCCATACCCACAGCTGCTCCCTTCCATCGGGCCTGTGCCCAGGCCGGGAGCCGGGCTTAAGCCCTTTCCTGGCTGCATGGTTCGCAGGGCCCAGTACGAAATGAAAACGTGGGGCCCCCGGTTCAAATAGTAGGAAGAATTTCCGTGAGCGTCAGCACAGCGTTAAACCAGGCACTGGGCCCCTCTCAGCACAGGGCCCTACAGGGCACAGGCGCACCCCTAAAACCTGCCCCGCTCCCGGGTCACCCCAGAGACTCCCAACAGTGCCTCGAGAGGCAGCTTGGTATTCATGCCCATTCCCCAGAGAAGCAAACAGGCACAGAGAGGTGCTTCATTTTGCCTCAGGTCACACAGCATGCCAATGGCAGAGATGGGTTATGAATCTGGGCCTGTGAGACCCCAAAGTCCCCTAACTTGTGCCAAAAATGTACCCCTGGTTTTCGAGGAAGAGAGAGCTGTGGGGTTTCCGGAGGGACTTCCTTCGCATCCTCGGTGTCCCTCCCTGCCCCATGCCAAGGCCCAGGAGGCGTGAACGGCTTCCTTCTCCTCCGCAGACGCTGAGGATCACGCGGCCCGCGACTCTCCCGTTCCCCACCACCCTCTGAACCACTGGTCACCATGGCTACTTCGAAGTTGCCGTCGGTGCCCAGGGAGGAGGAGACCACCATCCTCATGGCCAAGGAAGAGCTGGAGGCCCTGCGCACGGCCTTTGAGTCGGGCGACATCCCCCAGGCCGCCTCTCGCCTCCGGGAGCTGCTGGCGTCCTCCGACAGCGCCCGCCTGGAGGTGGGTGTCACGGGCGAGTCGGGCGCCGGCAAGTCGTCCCTCATCAACGCCCTGCGTGGCCTGGGGGCCGAGGACCCCGGCGCAGCTCTCACTGGCGTCGTGGAGACCACAATGCACCCCTCGCCCTACCCGCACCCGCGGTTTCCTGATGTCACCCTGTGGGACCTGCCGGGGGCCGGCTCTCCGGGCTGCCCGGCTGACAAGTACCTGAAGCAGGTGGACTTCAGCCGCTATGACTTCTTCCTGCTGGTGTCCCCGCGCCGCTGCGGGGCCGTCGAGAGCCGCCTGGCCTCGGAGATCCTGAGCCAGGGCAAGAAGTTCTACTTCGTGCGCACCAAGGTGGATGAGGACCTGGCGGCCACGCGCACCCAGCGGCCCTCGGGCTACAGCGAGGTCATCGTCCTGCAGGAGATCCGAGACCACTGCGCCGAGCGGCTGCGGGTGGCCGGCGTGGCCGACCCCCGCGTCTTCCTCGTGTCCAACCTCTCGCCCGCCCGCTACGACTTTCCGTTGCTCGTGTCCACCTGGGAGCACGACCTGCCCGCCCACCGGCGCCACGCGGGCCTGCTGTCGCTGCCTGACATCTCGCTGGAGGCCCTGCAGAGGAAGAAGGACATGCTCCAGGAGCAAGTGTTCAAGACGGCCCTGGTGTCGGGCGTCATCCAGGCCCTGCCCGTGCCTGGGCTGGCGGCAGCCTACGACGACGCCCTGCTCATCCGGTCGCTGCGTGGCTACCACCGCAGCTTCGGCCTGGACGATGACTCGCTGGCCAAGCTGGCCGAGCAGGTGGGCAAACAGGCGGGTGACCTGCGCTCGGTCATCCGCTCCCCACTGGCCAACGAGGTCTCGCCTGAGACTGTCCTGCGGCTCTACTCGCAGTCGTCCTACGGCGCCATGCGGGTGGCCCGTGCCTTTGAGAAGGGCATCCCTGTGTTTGGCACGCTGGTGGCTGGTGGCATCAGCTTCGGTACCGTCTACACCATGCTCCAGGGCTGCCTCAATGAGATGGCCGAGGACGCCCAGCGCGTCCGCATCAAGGCCCTGGAGGAGGATGAGTCCCAGTCGGAGGTCAGCTTGGAGGCTGCTGGTGACAATGATGTGGAAAAACGGGAGTCTGGGGAGGGAGGTGGCGAGGAAGCCCCAGTCTCAGTCTGCAGGAAGCTCGGCCTCCTCCTCAAGTACATTCTCGACAGCTGGAAGAAGCGAGACTTAGAAGAGAAATAAAAGTGCAGCCCTCACCCGTTGCCTCACCCACAGACCAAGCCTTAACAAAATCAATCAACTAAACAAAAAAGACCCGTGTGGTGACAATGAGAGCAGTTGCTGAGGGGCAGGGGTGGGTGGGGAGTGACCAGAGCTGGTGGTCTGGGCAGTGCAGGGGGAGGGGCATCGTGGGGAGGGATGGGGGGAGGCAGGGGCCCGGAGTCCAAGAGGGGCGTACTGAACGGGGATAGGAATGACCTAGGGACGGGTTCCAGGTGTGGACAGTGGGCCCAGGGCTCCTTGGTGGTGTCTCTCTCCCTGGTCCCCAACTGGCCAAGGGGGACTCGTGTGGTGGCAGGACCGCAGGCCGAGACAGGAGCCAGCCATGAAGCTAGGTGGCTGAGTGGCGACTGGGTCCTACCGAGGTACTTTACTTTCAAGCTCATGTCCCTTTCTGAGAACCCCGTGTCCCAAAGGCCATCCTGGAGAGGCCGCCAGTCAGCGCCCAGAATGGGCACAATGGTGCCTAGCAACTGGCTAAACCGGTGGGCCACAGCGGGCATCCTGGGCCCCGCTGCCTGTGAGAGACGGCAGGTAGGGCAGGGGAGGGGCGGGGGCAGGGCAGGCCAGGTGGCCCCAGGACTCATCTCCATGCGGAGCTTGGGGGAGACAGAGCGAGAGTGGAGGGGAGACAGCGCGAGCGGATGGTTTCCACGAGCATCAGAAGAGAGAAGAAGCAGAGGGCGCAACTTGGTGGCCTGGGGCGGGTCTCATCCCAGGGTTCCAGGACAGCAGTGGTGTCTGAGCGTGAGTGCGCGTGGTGAGGTTTCTGGGTTGGGAGGAATCTCGGTAAGTCTCTGCGATGTTGATGCCGTGGGTCTAAGACAGCGAGGCGTTTGCTGAGTCTGGGGGGGGGCGTATGGGGGATGTGTGTGTGAATTCTGGGACCCTGCTGAGAGGCCGAGGCTCTGAGAGTGGGGGTGACTGCATGGTGAGGTTTCTGAAAGCTGCACCTGGCTGAGGGACAGAGGGTACGTGCCACACAGGGCTGAGGGTCTCTGTGTCCGGCCCGAGCATCCCTGGGAGACCAAACTTCTAAGCACCAAGTAGGTGCCTCGCTCTGTGCTTGGCGCAGAGTGACACCCTCGTACCTGTCCGCATCTCAGCTCCTCCCTTCTGAGTCGAGGGTCCCACGTGCTTAAAAAATTAAAGAAGTAGGCCAGGCGCGGTGGCTCACGCCTGTAATCCTAGCACTCTGGGAGGCCGAGGCGGGCGGATTGTTTGAGCTCAGGAGTTGGAGACCAGCCTGAGCAAGAGCGAGACCCCGTCTCTACTAAAAATAGAAAGAAATTAATTGGGCAACTAAAAATATATAGAAAAAATTAGCCGGGCATGGTGGCACATGCCTGTAGTCCCAGCTACTCGGGAGGCTGAGGCAGGAGGATCGCTTGAACCCAGGAGTTTGAGGTTGCTGTGAGCTAGGCTGACGCCACGGCACTCTAGCCCAGGCAAAAAGAGTGAGACTCTGTCTCAAAAAAAAAAAAAATTAAAGAAGTAATAGACTGGGGGGTGGTTAGGCAGGTCAGGACAAGGGTTGCCCAAGGGCTTCTGTGGGCTCAGGGAAGGGCTGGATTCAGGTGCTGGGAAGAGGGCGTTTCCAGGTCGGTGCCCCCAGTACCGGGGCAGGGCTGGTGCTGGAAGCCAGTGGGACCCCCTTGTATGGTGAAGAAAGAAACTGCCACGAGGCGGAGGAGCTGGGAGGGCAGGCGCTCCCCCGAGGCTTGGGCGGCAGCCAGGAGGGAAGCTGATTCACTGCCCAACGTGGCCGGCTGGGCCAAGGGCCCAGGAACCTTTAAAGTGGATGGAGAAGATCCTCCCTCCCGAGCGCAGATGCTGGGGCGGTGCAAGCGTGGCAGTGCGAGATGAGAGTCCACGTCCACGGCTCGAGGAACTCAGGCAGGGTTTGGAGCAACCGGCCAGCGACGGAGGGTGGGGGGTGATTCAGGGGCTGGCACGTGGGAAGCTCCTTTTTCAGCCACAGCAGCCGGGGGAGCAGTAATGGGACCCGGGCCTGCCTTCGGAGAGTGCCCTGGACGCCTGGCTGGGGTCGAGGGGAAGCCCCCGCTGTCTTAGGGGAAAACAGGACCTGGGAGCTGAGTCCTCTCCCAGCCTTTGCCGCCTCTGCCACGTGGGGCGAGGAGGAAGGCTGGGGTCCAGCGCCCAGCCTGGGAGGTTACATCTTGGGGAAACTTTCCAAGGTCCATGAAGATCACAAGGTGGCTTTGGAAGCCGTGTACAAGGCGAGCGGCAGATGGGGACTGCGGTGCAACGGGGTTGGCTTCCCCCCTAGGTGCTCACATCTGCTTCCTGCAGATTTTTCCAGAATCTGGTGATGGTTCTAGCTTCATTCGGGAGCCTCACATTACCCCTGACTCTAGGAAACAGTTCCGGACTAAGAGGGGTCATCCTTACCTGGAGGACTGAGGGAGCGCCGATTCGCTTTGTTCAGGGCTCTGTCCCGTGCAAAAGGGCCCCTCTTCCCGGGAGGCTTCTCCATTGGCTCTGCCAGGACCACTTGGGGTTCACATGGGCCTTTCTGCGCCAACGGGGGTGCGGGGATTGGGGTAAGGAAATCCCCAGATGCTCAAGACAGAAGGTCCTTTCCAAGTCCAGGCTCCAAACCCGCCCACGTCCCTGCACCCTGTGACATCATCCTACACACAGGACACCCAGGCCCCGCTGGGGCTGGGATGGAAAGGCCAGGAATGAATATCACATGCTCTCGACACTGGTCTGAGGGTTACTTTTGTCTCCTCTCTCTCCTTCACTCCCTCAGCCAAGTGGCCCCACGTCCTGTGCCTTCTGCCTCCATCTCTCTGTCCCCCGGCCGCATCCTGACAACCTCACCCATTCCAGCCCTCCCCACCCCATTCCTGCCCCACCCTCCTGCCTCGTTTCCCGGGCTCCAGTCGTGTTCCCAATAAGGCCACAGAAGGACCTTTCTAACGTCCACAGCAGACCCCTCGCTTCCCTGCTCAAAACTGCCGTGGCTACCCACAAAGACCCAGCTGCTCACCCTGATGTCACAGGCCCCTTCCAAGCTAGCCTCTGCCTACACCCCACCAACAGTAAAACCCCGAGTCTTCCTACGACAGCAGAGCTGGGAGGGCTCTGAGGAGTCACCTCTCCATTTCACAGGTGAGAAAACTGTCCCCTCCATCCTATCCCACCCCTACAGAAGGCGGGAAATCCAGGCCGCAGTGGGAATGTGACCTGCCCAGTGTCACCTGGTGAATCCCTGGCATGTCTGGGACCAGATGTGGCCATGCAATCCCCGGGTGTCTGTGCTGGCTGTCCCCGTCCATTGTACCAGCAAGGATACCAGGGCCCAGGGCAGGACACGGTTTGCCTCGGTGTGCCCTGCAGTTTCTGAGCAGACACAGGTACTCAGAAGCCAGCAGTGAGGGGGACAATACTTCCACAAGTGCGTCAGACCCCTTGGGCCTCTCTTTTCCCAGGTCTGGGACTGCAGCACCCAAAGAGGTCTTGACATGTGTGGGTGCTCATTTGTGCAAACATCAGGCGGTTCTGTGTGGCAAAAGGTCTGACGGAGCGTGTCCACTTTATGAAATTACACATGTGGTTGGAACAGTGGCTGGCCCAGAGTAAATGTTGTTGTTATCAGCGATGATGACGGTTCTAGTTCTTAATCACTGCCCTGCATTGTTGATCACGGTGCCTGGTGCGTGGTAAATACCAAGAAATGTTATTTAAGAGTTTGAACTCTAGGACCAGAAGACCTCAGTTCCATTCCTAACACCCCATGCCCTAGCTGGTAGCCTCGGGCAAGTTAATCATCCTCTCAGCACCAAATATAAATAGTAAGAAAATCTTTTCCAGGCTGTTCTGAGCCAGGAGTACCTCGCAGTGATGAATAAATTTTAACTAAAATAAAGCACTTAGCTTGGAGTATTGTTACACACTCAGTACCATTAGTAGTGATGCCTCAGACACTTTGGGCATTGTTGTGATTTCTATTGTTATTTTTTTTGTTTTCTTTTTTTTTAAAGAGAAGGAGTTTTGCTCTGTCACCCAGGCTGGAGCGCAGTGGCACAATCACAGCTCACAGAAGCCTGGAACTCCTGGCCTCAAGTAATCCTCCCACTTCAGCCTTCTGAGTCACTGGGATTACAGGCGGGAGCCACCACGCCTGGCTGTTATGGTTACTTTTTTTTTTTTTTTTTTTTTTTTTTTGAGACAGAGTCTCACTCTTAGTATACAAGGAACCCCACGTGGAATTACAGTTGTGCCCCACCAGGATACATTTTTATTTGTGAGGGATTTCATAATGCCTCAATAAATGGAAAATAAAAAGCCAGCGTGGTTTGGGATATTTCCGAATTCAATTTAAGTTAGCAAAATCTACTCTACCGGGCTAGAGTGAGTGCCGTGGCGTCAGCCTAGCTCACAGCAACCTCAAACTCCTGGGCTCAAGCAATCCTTCTGCCTCAGCCTCTCGAGTAGCTGGGACTACAGACATGCGCCACCATGCCCGGCTAATTTTTTCTATATATTTTTAGTTGTCCGATTAATTTCTTTCTATTTTTAGTAGAGACGGGGTCTCGCTCTTGCTCAGGCTGGTTTCGAACTCCTGAGCTCAAACAATCCGCCTGCCTCGGACTCCGAGAGTGCTAGGATTACAGGCGTGAGCCACTGCGCCCGGCCTGTTACGGTTACTTTTTAATTTGGTCTGTCTCTTGAGAGTGGTCATGAGTGGTCATAAGCCAAGATAGGCACTCTCTAGGAGAGAGCTCACCAGGGGAAAGTTAGGTGCAGGTGTGTCAAAGTCAAAATAAAAATGTAGAGATGGATCTCCAAATTTAACATTTTATTTGGGAAGAAAGAATTATAATTCAGGGCATACATGCAGACCAGATGGTCTTTGGTATGTCCAAAGAACAAAGAGAAGGTTGGAGTTTTTATAAAAAAAAGAGGAATGTTCCATGAGGTCCTGAGAGAAAGTTCGTTGGTATTAGCACAGCTCTGGGGGGTTGGCAAGCTCTGGCTGGTGGGTGACAGCG